ACAGTGATCCACACCTACAATCAATACCAGTAGCTGCAAGGCTGAGCCAGGAGGATTACCATGAATCTGGGCTACGTGCTGAGATGGTGTGGGATAACCAGCAAGAGAGCTCAGTGGATAAAGGCGCTTGCAGCCAGACCTCCGATCTCCCACATGGTGGGAAGAGAGAACCAATCCATCCCATGAACCTTGTCATCGTACATGCACACGGACAAACACAGATTGCATAATATAAACAAGTAAAAATGAAAAGCAACAAAATCTGAGAATCCAAATGAACACACTGTTCCATTAAGTTGACATTAAGTGAATCCTCTAAAAACAGTAACTAGATACTCTTAAGTATACCCCTAAAATATCTGCTTATCTTGACATGTTTATGTATATCTATTTTTATATATAATTGCATAAATACATAAGTTTGAAGGTATAAATTTCTTCATTTTTCTTATTTTCGAGATCTCATGAAATATCAATTTACTGGCACTGAAAGTAGTTTGTGGCAGAATCAGAAAAGCTGCACTGACAACTCGCTTAGATGATGGTTTTTGAGAGGTTTTGAGAGAGGTTTCTCTGCATGGCCCTGGCTGTCCTGGAACTCACTCTGTAGACCAGGCTGGCCTCAAATTCTCAGAGATCAGTGTTTCTCTGCCTCTGCATCTCACATGCTAGGATTAAAGCTGTGTAGTGCCACCACTGCCACCACCACCAGCTGCAGACACTGTATTTTAGAAGCATCCCTGAAATCATGACCCAGTGACTAGAGAAGGGACACACCTAGATCTCTGTCAGTGCAGATTCCCAGCATCCCTCACATGGACACTGCAGACACCCCTTCACCTTTTCCCTCGTGACTGCCCTTCATCACCCTGGCTTGTTTGGCACTCACTGTGCCTCCCATAGTTACTGTCATGTTCAAGCCTGTTGGGAAGGTCTGAACTGGTTATTGAAGTACAACATATCTGTGATCTGGGCCTCGTCAATCTCTGGCACACTGTCTGCTATTTCCCCTCCACTGTCCTCAGCTGAAGCAAATATGGAGACTCACTAACACATAGGACACTCTCTCCTTGCTCTGGGGGCTACTCTGACATATTTCATCTTTCTCCTCATCTCCTTTCTTGGCCTGCACATGTCCTGTCTCAGCTTAGACATCAATTCCTCTTGGACGCTTTCACGGCCCTCCCTGGACACTGCATGGTTAATCCTGTCAGAGCTTCCTTTGTTAGAGTACCTGTTGTTAACACCTGACATGAGAAACAGAAAGGCAGGTTCACTAGCAGTTGAAGAGTAGATGGTACATAACACTCAAATACCTACTGACTAAGTGGTCCTCTGTGGTTCTACAAATTGATGTAATGACAGGATTTATAAAGTACAGAATTTTCCTGTTATGTAAAGTCATTGTGCTTTAGTTAAAATATTTTCAGGATGGGCAGAATAAAGGCTCCAAAAAATGATTATGTCTAATTCCATGAATCTATACATTACCTTATGTCAAAGAAGAACTGAAGGAGCAGACAGATCTAAGGCTGCTCATCAGTGGTCTTTAACAGGGAGGTTATGCTGGATTGCCACCTGCGAGACCATGAGGGCCCTTCAATACAGAAGAAGGCGGCAGAGTCAAAGTAGCATGTGTGAGGACTCTACAAGCCTTTGCTGGCTGCAATGATGGAAGACAGGAGCCATACACTGGACTAGAAGCTAGAAAGACAGAGAAACTGTCTAGAGTCTAGAAACATCCTTAAGAATCCCTACAGAGAACACAGTTGACTGACAGCCTCACTTTAGCCCAGAGAGCAAGGGCAGACTCCTGACCTATAGAACTATATGTTAGATACTATGTGCTGTTTTGAACCTCTAAAGTTGGGGAAATTTACTAGGGGATCATGGTAATTTTTTGGGGGGGGGGGCTGGAGCCAAGGCTGATGGGTAAAGTGGCTGTCGCACAAGCATGAGGACCAGAGTTTGGATCCCCAGGATCCAGATGTGACTTTACATGAATCTGGAAGATAGTTAGAAAAGTTTGTCTTTATGGTCAAAGTTGGACACGTACGATGCAGTTGGGAGCTCATCTCTTATGGCATCACCAGTTGTTATTTTAGATTGAGTAACATGCCAGTGGGTCCCTTCTACCAACAGTAAACATAGGATGAGGTCCTAGGTCCAATTATCTGTACCACCCAAAAGTATATTACATGTAATATATAATAAAAACATGTATTATATATGTAGACATACACACAGGCACACACACTCAAGACTTAAGAGAAGTACGGACAAAAGATCTAAGGCAGCTAAGACACAGTCAGATTAATTTGTTACTTCTGAACTCTCTAAGACCTGTCACCCAGAAGAATGCTCTGGCACAGTGAACACAAGAACTCATAAACACTTGTTTTTTGGCTACTTTATGCACAGGACTGTTGTCCTCAGGACAATGCTCAGGATATGCAGTATCAGCTTCCTTGTGATAAGCAAAGACATGAAGGAACTGAGTTCCTGATCTCAGATCACAAGGGGAGCAGCAGCAGGCAGAGCACAGCTTCAAACCCAGAGCTCTCCCTACCAACCACCCGACTCCAGGCTGCATACCCGTTTCCAGGTTTTGTCTTCCTCCAGCTCCCAGCCCTCCTGGTCTTAGACCAGCTGGATTTGTAGAAAGGGTGGAAGCAAAAGTGGACAGGGTGCTGAAAGTAGGGGTGGGGTCAGTTTAAAGGAGTCTCCCACATGCTCTCTACTTCTGGTCCTGGGTATCTCCTGCACTGTGTTGTCTAATGCTTAGATGCCATGGTGACTAGCACTGAGCAAACACCAAATGTTGTTATGGCAATCTTTAGACACTTCATCTGAACTTGTCTGTTAAGTCATACAAAATTTATGAGCATTGATTGCCAGAGGCTGAGGACAGGAGGACTGGGGAGTGACTGCTAATGGGTTCATAGTTTTGTTTTTTTATAGGGGATCCAATGTTGTATAGCTCTGTGGCTATAATAAAATCACTGTGCCATAGGCTTCAAAAGGCAAACTTTATGGTTTGTAAATTATATCTCCATTTTTAACAACTTGCTATTATAAAGAAACCAGACATTAACAAATGTTGGCAAAGGGACAGAGAAACTGTATCTCACCCTTATTTTAGTAGAGAGAAACTGGTGGAACCTCATTGGAAGACAGCTCACCAGTTAAACTCATATTACTTATCATGAAAAACCATCTCCCACTGATAAGTGATAGAAATGAAAGCACGTTCACAGAGGCATCACTCATAGCAGCCAAAATCCAAATGCTTATCAGTGCGCAGGCAAGTACCCAAGAATCGTGCTACTTCCATGCAATGGAGCATTTCTTGGCCATAGAAAGAAAGGGACTGCAAATAGCTTACAGCCAGAGTGAACCAGGAAAATGTGTTACATGAAAGAACCCAGCCAAAAAACCATCTATGTGATTCTACTGACAATCACAGTGTCCAGAGAGGACAAATCTATAGAGAGAAAACAAGATCAGTAACTGCCCACAAGAGGGGTGCTCCGAGAAACCGGCTGCTAACAGGTGTGGGGCTCACTGGGGGGGTCTCTGGTTTTGAATGGCTAGTCCTGTAGTCAGCTGACCTGGAGCTCACTCTGTAGCCACCAGCCCCCACATGCCGGGATTACAGGTGTGAGCCATCACTCCCAGATAGGTTTCAGTTCTTATAGGCAGCAAGGTCAGCCTGGGGAGACAGGCGATGTGCCTTGAAGGACAGCTTATACAATAAATCTAATGCACACGGCGGTGCATAGACCATGTTTACTGTCAGCTCTTTTACGATATAGTCACACCCCGTAACACAGGTTATCTATTTTAAGTCAACATGGAAAAGACAAAGGAACATGAACAGCCAAGTTATGAGTTATCTTTACTGGAGCCAAAGTATGAGTTACTTCATTAACTAAGGGATAATTAACATCCTACATGAGTGCATGTTTGTAGACATGTGTGTACAGGTACATGTGTGCAGGTATGTGCATGCAGAGGTTGGTAGATTAAAGCTGGGTGTTTTCCTCAATTACTCTCCATTTCATTTACAGAGGCAGGGTCTCCTACCGAACCTGGAGCTTGCTAGTTCAGCTGCTCCAAGTAGCCAGCTTGCCCCTCCTTTACCCAATAGTTCTGGGGTATGTGCAGGCCTCCAGGCCAGCCTGATATTGTGTGGGTGCAAGGGTCTGAACTCTGGTTCTTGGGTTTGTGCAGCAAGGCCTTACTGCATCTACTGAGCCAGGTCCAAGCACCATAGTTATATAGTTGCCTCTAAATTTTAAATCTACAAATGAAAACCAGGGTATAGAGTGACAACATTTCTTATCAGCCAGAGTACAAGCGAGCGGGAGAGCAGGAGAACAGAAGGGAGGAAGACACACTGGCTTAATTCACTGGGCCTCCTGCAAGCACTGCTGGCCGGGGGTAAAGAGTGGTCTAGTAAGGACTTCCAGCCAATAGCATGCCAGAACCGTCTAGGCCAGTATGCCTCTGACAAAGCAACAATCACAAAATCAAACAGACAAACAAAACCCACCACTGATAGCCTTTCCCCATGGGTGCCTGATGATTCAGACGCAGAACTCCAGAGCTGCATTTTACCTGACAAACTACATTCTGAAGAAAAATCTGAAATACTTTGTAACCAAAGATATGCAGCTATTAAAACCAGGTGCCTTACGCCACACTGGTACATGTGGTATTAGTTCACCTGCCGAGTGAGGCAGAAAGATCCTACAGGAAACTGTATGAGCCCAGACCATCCCAGGTCAGAAAGCAAAGCCATGGTGACGCAGAAGGAAAGCGTAAGGGCAGCAGACTAAATACTTCATAATTCCTCTACAGACTGTGACTCTGCGGGGCAAAAGCTCAAGAAGCACAGAGCGGGACCTCCAGGCGCTGCTGCAGAACAACACTAGAAGAGCAGCAAGTAGAAATGTTTATTTTTGTTAAAGGAGAGCAAAGAAACGGGGAGGGCTCACCTGGAGGCGTGCTCCTAGGAGTGCCCTTTTTGGCCTTTGGACTTCTTTTTCCAGGTAGCTTTTTGTCCTGTCCCAAAACAGGCGGGTCATCTTTGGGGCCTTCGTTTGGAGTATTTTCTGAGTTCTCTGTGGGGGTTGCCTCACAGCTAGAAGGGAAGCTTTCGTTATTGTTGAGACTGTCCTGTTCAGACACCGTGGCTCTTCCCATGGCGCCGTCACTGGTGGTCAGACACGCAGGTCCGTCTCCGGCAAGCTGATTTTCATTTTCATCTGAGATAGAAGGCAAGCGTGTCACTCTCCTTTCCATGCTGTCCCCCGGATGACATCCATCTTGTGGCTCTATCTGCAGACTGTATGTAGGAGAGTCGCTGTCATCCATTAGCGCATCTTTTGTGGAAATGTTTAACGTCTCATCAAACTCCTTCTATGCCTATAAAGACAAAGGAATTATTTAAGGCTACTTCATTCTCTAACCTCTGGAAACTTGTGGCTTTCAGTTTCCCACTTTCCATTTCACTGGAGTTAGGAAAGGAACAAACTCCATTCCTCCCTCTTTTTCACCTGCCACCTCACCCAAATCTCACTCAGCTCTACATCAGCATGCTGGCTTCGCAGTCGCCGTCCTGTGCAGGACACTCCACTAAGCCAGAGTTCAAAGGCTGCCTGCACACTGCCCTTCCTAGGTGCTCTGGGTGGTTCCCAGTGGGCATCAGACTGGGGCTGCTGACTTGAGGAAAGACATTCTTGGCTATGCAAGCTATCTACTAATCATCAATTTTAATCAATCACTCATGATATCACTGCATGCTTGCCAGAAAAGTAAGAGCTAGCTGTGGAAGTATTCCTTTGACTAACATTTACAAATGAAAACACCGGAAGTCATACTATTTATGTATTTATAGAAAGGCACATGGAGGAAAGTCAAACAGAACATTTTAGTCTGTGGTTTCACTACACCTTCATCTTCTAAGAACAAGCACTGAGGACAGAGGAAGCAAACCTCACGTCTGCCAGCAAAATCATTTTAAAAAGAAAGGGTGGCTGGAGAGACAGCTTGGTGATTAAGAGCCTTAGCTGCTCTTCCAGAGGACCCGGGTTCAATTCCCAGCACCTACACAGCAACTCACAACTATCTGTAATTCTAATTCCTGGGGATCTGACACCCTCAAACAGATATACATGCAGGTGAAACACCAATGCACAGAAAAAAAAATTCCTAATTTGCACTGGAAAGGTGGCTCAGCAGTTAAGAGCACTGACTGCTCTTCCAGAGGTTCTGAGTTCAATTCCCAGCAACTACATGGTGGCTCACAACCATCTGTGATGGGATCTGATGCCCTCTTCTGGTATGTCTGAAGACAGATACGGTGTACTCATATAAGTAAAATAAATAAATCTTTAAAAAGGGAGAGTGGTAATAATTAACTCTAGGCTATTTAAATACCTACAAAAGTGCCTGTAGGTCCCATGTACTTGGGTAGTTGAGGCAGGAGAATTATTTGAACATAAGGGTCTGAGGTCAGCCTGGATAACAAGAGAACAGCAGTCAAAACACAAGCCAAACAGATCTATAAAAGATCAAAATCCCTTTATCAGCCATTTAAAACATCTTATCATTCAAAGGTACACTTTAAGAAAAGTGCGCCAGCCAATGCTTGCCTAGCATTAGTTCTGGGTCTGAGTCAACTATTTCAGGAATTCTAGAACAAAACAACAACAACAATCCTATAATGACCTTAAAATATTGTAAATAAAAATAAAAATTTAAAAATCACCTAAAAAAATCTACAGATGGGTAAGCTGAAATTCTTCTTTAAAGAATATCTAAATGGGGACTGTAGAGATAGCCCTGGGGTTAAGAGCATGCTGTAGCCTTGCAGAGGACCCAGGTTCAATCCCTGACACCCACATGGTAGTTCACAAATATCTGTATCTCCAGTTCTAGGAGATCCTATACTTTCTCCTGAACTCTGCAGGCACCAGACACAGAATGTGGCATGCATCCACACAGGCAATCCACACATAAAATGAAAATAATAAAAATAAAATCTTAGAAAAATAACAAAGGGCACATAAATAAGGTGCATTCCTCTTTAAAGTACACAAACAAGGCTGTGGGGTGTAGCTCAGCTGACAGCTCTTGCCTGGTGTGCAAGGAGCTGTGGGTTTGATCCCTAGTGCCATAGAGACTGGACACAGTAGCACAGGCCTGACTTCCTGGGATGTGGGAGGCAGAGGGAGGGAAATCAGCAATAAAACGCCCTTGCTCACAATGGAGCAAGTCTGGGATACATGAAACCTATCTCAGAAAATAGATATACACAAATATATCATACACACACACACACACACACACACACACACGTAACACTTACATATGTAAAAAAGTCTACAATATTAATCCTATAAAATGCACTATATATTTGTGACCTATTTTGCAACTGACATATTATTTCATACATAAGGTCATTCTTAGAAAAACATAAAAATGTCTAAATCTGGCTGGTGTCATTTTCCTTAAAACATGCACCGTATCTCTACTGACTTTATTTCTGGGTTGTGTTTTGTTTTGTTTTGTTTTGTTGAGATAGGGTCTCTCTAGATAGATAGCCCTGGCTATCCTAGAACTCACTATGTAGATCAAGCTTGGCCTTCAACTCACAAAGATCTGCCTGACTCTGAGTGCTCGGATTAAAAGAGTGTGCCACCATCACCCAGCTTATATTTCTGCTTGTATTTCTACTTTAAATAACTTCAGCTGCTTTCTAATTTAGACCTTGAGGAGGTACTGCAGCCTGTGTATACTACAAGTACAGTATTTTATCTTCTAACCATAGAGACCCAGAGGCCACACACCAAAGGAACCTAGGACAGCAGAAACAGAAGCAGCTGAGAGAGCCCAGCAGTCATCACACGCCATAGTGTGGCATCCACTTCATATATCTGACCTCGGGTATTCAAAACAAGACCAGACTGGAGGTGCACACATTGTTTGAAATGGAGAAAGAAAACAACTAAGGTCATAATCCTGGGACAGGAGCAGAGCTGGACCCAGAACTCTGTGTTCCAAGGTTCAGGTCCTAAGCAGTTCAGTACAATGGCTGAGGACAGAGGCACATCTTCCTTGCCATTTTCCAAGTGGTGTGAGAAACATTAGGCAAGTTCCATAGCAACTACACTGCCCATTTTCCTCATCTGTATGACTGCAGGACTGTTGAGTACCACCTGTCTCGAGTGGTTGAGTTTTTGTTTCGTTTTGGTGATGTCAGGAATTAACCCAGGACTTCCACAGGAGAGTGTTCAGTGCTGAGCTGCAGCTCCTAAGCATTTTTTACTTCACACTCTAGTGTGTGTGTGTGTGTCTGTGTCTGTGTGTGCATGTGCAGGTGCATGCATGCTGGCCTGCCTATTTCTCTGTATGGGCTTGTATGTGCCCAAACATATCATAACATATGATGGTTAGAAAACAACCTGTAGGAGCTGGCCCTCTCCTCCTACCAAGTGGGTTCTGGGTGTTGTGTTCAGGTCACCAGGATAGCAGCAAGGGCTTTTACTCATCACTGTGCTCCTAACTTTCCTTAATTTTCTTCTGAGACTGCCAAGTTGCCTGGGAAGACTTCAAATCTGCTATGTAGTCCTGCTGGCCTTGAACTCATGACTCTAATGCCCAGCCTTCTGGTATGCTACTACACCTGGCAAAAGGTCATTTGTGATGCGTAGATAACAGGACAGGTAAAGCACTTAGGAGAGTACTTGGTCCACACAGCAAATGGTTAATAAATGTTACTTCCCAAGCAGATTCACAGAGTGACTCAAGGGACACTCAACTTTACTGTATACTCAGAAACAGCTTTTCTAAACACTCTAGAACTGACCAGGCTCTGGATGATAAACAGTGCTAACCAGCTTCATTACAGAATACTGAGATACCAACTTACAATGGAGAATTCTCAGTCAGTCCCTGTAGTACTCACGTGTCTCCTCTGAGTCGTCTGAGTCTCCTTTTTCAGGTGACTGAGATATTTAGAAATTAGTGGTTGGAACTACCTGGTAAGGGCTGGGAAGATAGCTCAGTGGGTAAAATGTTGATCTTTCAAACACAAGGGCATGGTTGATTCCTAGAACCTACGTTTTAAAAGCCAGGCATGCTGCCCGGTGTAGTGGCACACACTTTTAACCCCAGCATTTGGGAGGCAATTGCAGGCAGATCTCTTGTGTGTAAGGGCTACATAGTAAGACTTTGTCTCAAAACAATAACCAACCAACAAAGCCACATGTAGGTGCTTGTAACTCCCACTGCTAGGAGGAAAAAACAGGCAGATCATTTAAGCTCACTGGCCAGCTAACCTAGCCTGTTCAGCTAGTGTATATATGCATGTATGTATGTATGTATGTATGTATGTATGTACACACACAGCTCTAAGGAACACATATGAGATCTGGCTTCCACATGCATATGTGATCACATAAACACATACACACAAGACTCCTGTGGCAGCTGGGCATGATATACACACTTGTAATCCCAACATGAGAAAAACAGGCAAGAGGACCAGCACTTGAGGGATAGCCCAGCTATACAAGACCCTGTTTCAAAACCAAACAGTTCCTTGGTAAGTATAATTTTATAGATAGCTGAAGCTTTGTCATGCAGGCCCTGAGTTAAAAGTATTCATACAACAGACTCAATTTTCATAATCAGCCAGCAGATAGTTACTTCCAGTCCTGTTGAAGAGGCAGAGACTCCTATCAGCCAGCTTAGAAATGCCAGACTCAACCATTTTGTTCTGTGGTCAAAGGAACCAAAAAATATTTCACTTGGTGTCACTGCCCTCCACCCATTCTAAAACAGAGACTATCTCCAATGACCAAGTTCAAGTGCTTTTCTCCTCCCTGAATGCTCTATCACTGAATAAATGGGTTTCCAGGAGCCCTCTGCCTCCTGCTGGGAAACTTTCTGGGTGGTCTTAGGGTAGGCCCACACATCTAAATGAAGTAGCCACTCCCAGGAACATAAGTGTTCCTCTTTTGGTTCTCAGGGTAACTTGCCTCCTACTCTTTTTCCATGATACAGTTAGTTTAACTGTTAAAAGGAATTAAGAATGATACAATTAGTTTAACTGTCATTCAAAAGGAAATCCTGCAAATGTTTTCTGCCATCGGGTCTCCCTCTTTCCAAGATTTTATTCTGTATTTTATTTTTGCTGGAAACTAACAGTGCATCAAGGCCTGGCTCAAAAGTCACTCACCCGGTTTGCCTGGCTGATTTCTGTCCCAGACTCCTCTGCAGCAGTGTGCCAGTCAGAGTCCTCCCTGAGGACTCGACATTCTTTCAGCATGTGTTTTTACATGCAAGCTTTTTGAATGCCCACAATCTACTCCTAAGTCTTGTTTGCCAGTGTCTGGCTGTTAGACACATGGCTTATGTTT